GCGCGCGCGCGCGCGCTCTTGATGATGGCGAATCGTGTGCTCGTTCCGCTGTTAAACGAGGCAAAATTATCAGGAAAACACTTGGACACGTACTTGCCAAGTTTCCTGAGTTCGCCCCGCCTATTTATGCTAATGTCAAACAAATTCCGCGACTAGACGCGAATTAATATTCGCCTCGTGCGCCAAGAAAAATCTTTCGAAAAGAGAGAGCGCGAGTCATTAAGATATTATATTTGCGCATTGATTTTGATTTATTTTTACGAGTTTAAATATTTATTTCAATTCCGTGCAAAATCTTTCTCGCGAAACGATACATTTTTTCTCGAATCTTTTCTCTTCGCGCGGCTTGTGCGGAAGAGTTCGCGCGCAGATATGTCGCGTATCATTCTGATTTCAGACCGGAGCGTGCTTTTGTCTTCGCTCGCTTTATTATTGTCAATATTGACCGTGCTGATTGATCTACTCGCGCCGCGTCAGCCCGCACCTACCTCGTGTGCATTCTCTTGCGTCGCTTCGCTTGCACTCGCGTTTTCGTGTACACGCGAAGAGAATAGGGCGAACGATCGCAATTTTTCATCAACCGTGTAATAAGACAAAAAAAAAGCAATATAGCTGGATACTAGTACGATGCCTTCGTTTTATGGCGAATTACCCGCGTACCGTCCGTTTCTACATACACTTTGCAAGAAAAATACATTTGAAAATTTATGAGGGACTTGAAAAGAGAAGAAGAAAATTAATATTTATAACGTAATTTTAATACATTTACAGCTCACACACACATTTAATATGTTCGAAATATTAATTCAATTTTAACAATAATGTAAGCACGATGTGTGTAATGATGATTGTTAATTTGGTTTTATTTTTATTTTGATTTTGTTGTATTTAATTTTTATTCAATTCTCTTCAACCGAATTTTGAATGATTTTACGTGTTGTATAATTTTATTTTCTGAAACTTCATTCAATTCGTCGAGGCAAATTTTGCGCAACTCTTTTGTGAAATATGACAATCGCGCCGGAATGCGCGTAATATAAACCGCATTTATATTTCGCTTGCTCGAGGTTTCTATATTTTAATCGAGAGAAATCAAACAAACTTTTGTCGCGAGAATTAACGATCGCGCTAACGTAGAAAAACAAAACCGCCTGCGCTCAATCTTTCGTGTGTTTAACTTTTGCTCGGCCGTGTTTTAAGATTCTACTCAGGCGAAACACTGCCGATTTGTTATGCATTCAGATTCTCAAAGAGCAACTTAAACATATGATAATGAAATTCTTCTTTGGCACACAACAATCCGTTTGCAGCAACAAAGATATACTCTTTACTTCTCTAACTCGATTCAGAGTCACAATATGGCTCGGCGAAATTTTCCGTAAAAGCGACGTTAACAGTCGCAATATCGTAAGTGTTTTCTGAATTTGTATTCAGGTCCGGAAGAGCGGGAGATTGCACGTACACGCCGTTCAAGAGACGAGAGAAAAAGAGAATATATTTTTATTTTGTTTCTTTTAATATTGCGGAACAGATTCAACTTGCAAAACTTTTTTCTCTCAACTTGATATTCTATTTGGTAATATTTTATTGCAAGTGTGTAATGTATCTTGTGTGCGCTTGATGCGTGTGCCTGACATGAGTTGCATTGTTGTTGTTGTTGTTGTTTTACCCGAATCAGAATATTGCGAATAGGGTTAGGTATCGGTACGTTCTCATCGTCGGAGGGGGGGAGGTAGAACAATCGCAGCTTCTTGGTACTAATGCGATCCCGTTGTAGTCCGACAGTCTCGAGTTCCCTGATGAAGTCGACACGTTTATCTTAGCAGACGCGGCGCGGAGTCTATTTGAGCTCGTCTCTCTTAAAAGGACGGTTGAGAGATGAAACACTTGAGACGACGGCGGTTACACTTCTTAATTAAGATGTGTCAGAACGATATCAAACTTGGTGTTATCCGGCAAATTATTTCAGTTCCGTGTTCAACGAAGCGATATTATTATCAAATGAAAGTTTCTTTGTGCGAAGGAGAGAAGGGGAAGAGAGAGAGAGAGAGAGCACGAGAAAAAGATTTAGATTAATTCGGGAAAATTTAATGTGTGAACATCGCTCGCGGTGATGAGAATTTAACAGACGGAGGAAGTCAGATATATCACGTCCGAACGCGTGATAAATCGGACGTATAAATTTTCATGTACGAGTGTCAGACTTCGCGCACTGACCTATCAGTTTTTTTTTTTTATCGGATAGAATGAATCACACACACACAGACTGACTTGCTTGAAAAATGTCAGTGAGTTCTCGCGGAATGAATGTAAGATAGTTTGAAAAATGTTTTGAAAAAAAAAAACAAAAAAACACTTATCGGTTTGTCAAAATATTTTACACGTTAGATGAATTGTGTGAAATTAATTTTCCACAAATTAACCGAAAATCACAGCGTTAAATTGCAGCGTTACATTCGCAGATGCCACGACGGTAATATTGTAATCCAACCGCAGTTTACACAGACAACATGTGTCTAATTCACTGACGTATTATTGCCGCGTTGTGATACATCGCGTATTGTGTTGCGCAATCTGAGCGAGAGATTTTGTGAATTGCAGCAGCTGATAACGACGCACGCACAATGGCACGAGGCTTCCTCGCGCGCGTGTGCGATGCGCGCGGCCAGCAATTGAGCGCCCTTGGCAACCCTACGTCAATTTCATCATATCCGTTGATCATATCTGGGTCAAAGATAGACCAACGGGAAACCTGTGTGTGTGTGTGTGTATGCGTACACATCGTGGCGCGTGGTTAATGTAGTTTAGAACAGGCGTGTCCATCAAAGCGCGAATTGCTAGCCAAACTACGTACGGTCTGACGCGAAGTGAGGAGTTAGTTTCCTCTTGAGATTTGAAGCATCATTTCACGAGAAAATACAATTTTATTAATTGCGCTACGGTTGAATTAGTTCAATTAATTAAATTAGAGAGAGAAAGAGAGAGAGAGAGCCACGGTGCCATATCGCTTGACTACGAATGGAAAAAGAAAAACGAGAAACATTTAATTGCCCTTCCATCAACAATCGCGCTAATTGTTCCGCGAAATATAGAGAGAATGCAACAATATTTGCTCAAGTGGAAAATTATGTTACCGTATATACACAGCGTATAAATCGCCAATCACATATTTGCGCTATTCGTGTGTTAAATATAAAACGCTTTGGGAGATATAATTCACAGTGAATTTACAGTAATGCACTTCTCTGTAATTTTGTGTTTTGCATATTATATGTATATTGCTCTCGCGCGATTATGAAGTTAATGGGGGAAAAGCGCGCGCGCGTGTTAATGAAACCGACGAGCGAAACGCGTTCTCGCACGCAAGTCCACGCGAAATGAAAGCGATCGGATTCCGACGGTGGAAAAACAAAAACCTCTCCTCAAATCCATCATTGCGATAAAACGCCCCGCCAGTCATGAAATGCCCTCCGTCGGATATACGGAGAGAATTTGCAAAGCAAATTTCCCGGATTTTACCGACGGATTTTTATTCCGTTGCTCTTAAAGCCCCCATCCCGTCGGGTTTCGAAGCTTCGTTTTAATCTCGCCGCCGCTGCGCTCTGATATGAGCTTTCAGTTTACTGACTTTTTGCGCGATTTGCGGATTTCGGGCGGAAGAGAGAGAGAGAGAAAGAGAGCGCGCGCGCACACACACGTGCATATTCAGTAGCGCACTCGGGCGTCCGACACAAATTAGCGTTTCTGGCGTTTTCGACGCGTTTATCAGCGAGTTTAATTTTCCGAAAAAACCGAAGAAGAGACAATGAAAAAAGCTTTATATGTTATCCGCGCGCGCGGATATTCGCACATCGAGTAGATTATAATCGCATTGTCATCGTTTCGTAGAGACATGCGATTAAATTAACTTTATTCGTTTTTCTTCTTTGTTCTATTCACAAAATGTTGCTTCAAAAAGAATTTTTGGAAAATTTGAAAGGACAAATTAAACCCTTTGTTAAGATATAAACGATATATATATATATATATTTAATTCTTTATCTTTTCTCTCGTTGCCATTTTATTTACGAGACAACGTTTTTGCGAGTCCGGCGAGTGGAATGTCCGCGGCGACGTTCTCGCGCGTTTCCTTCGACCGCGGAATCTTCGACTTTCGGGACGAGACAAGAAAGGATCGGTGGTGTTGAGTTTCTGGTGAATTCTCTCTGTTTCTTTTCTCTGTTCGCGCGCTAACCACACCACGCGTAAACCACGTTCCGCGCCGATTAAAGACGACTTAGCCGACGACGACGTCGCGTTTAAACGTGTTTTCGAGATGGCGGAAAGGTGCCGAGGAAACGTGCGGAGAATGCGCCGAGATGAAGGTCGTAATTTATTAAATGTCGCAAGAGTAATGTCGCTCCTTAGCGCGAGTAGCTTCCGAGCGCGCGAAGAAGAAATGTACACTCTCATCCTCGAGTCTAAATAGCGGATTAGACCGTAGAGAACGGTTTCATTTGTCGAGCTGCTCAGCTGAGACACACTCCTGTGTCATAACTCGCTATAAGTAGATTCACTGCGCGATTCACGACGCGTGTATTTATATATCTCGCGAGCGCTTTATCATATCACACACTGTGTGTAACGTACATATATGTCTCAAAGAAGTTTGCGAGAAATGTGTGTAATTCACTTCGTTTGCGTTCAAAGAAGGTGAAAAGCTCGTTACTCGCGGTTGCTTCTTTCTCGACGATGCGCGGCGTTGTGACATCACGTGTCGTCTCATAGAAAGAAGCCAAGGAGAACTGCATTTCTGATGCTTGCGATACGACTGCATTTATTATCTCAGTCCCTGACGGTCACGAAGAAAGTCTTCGTGGGCGTTGCGTCATCAGAAAAATCCGCGGAATATGTTTTTTTTTTTTTGCACGAGAGTCGAGACGTCGCGACGGCAACGAACAAGACGAACAGATACACACATCCGAATGACAATCTAATCGGAGACTGTTTTTCTGTTGCAGAAGGTGGATCCTGAGCTGATATTCACTAAACAGGAAAGAATCGGAAAAGGCAGCTTCGGCGAGGTTTTCAAAGGTATCGACAACAGGACCCAGCAAGTGGTGGCCATTAAGATCATCGATCTCGAAGAGGCGGAAGATGAGATCGAGGACATACAGCAGGAGATCATGGTGCTGTCGCAATGCGACAGCCCGTACGTCACCAAGTATTACGGGTCTTACCTCAAAGTGAGTAAAAAAAAAAAAATAAAAAATAAATCAAACGAACAAAACTCTTCAAAAGTTAACGTAAATCTCGCAGAGAATTATAAAAAAACAAAAAATTCGGAAAACAGATAATCGGACGCGAGAATGTCCGGGATGTCGCGTGAGAAAAACAATATCTCGGTATGTTTTAAAAGCGCTTGTTGTTACACAAGCGTGTCAAAACTGTTATATTTTCGCTGACGATACAAAATGTCGGGCACACCTCTTTTTATCGCCGTTCTGTCTCGACGAATCGCTGCGGTATAATCGCGCGCGGATATATGACGAAAAATAAAAGACCGCTATCGAGGGCACTTGGCCGTTACGCCCTCCGTCATTTTTCATACGGCAAAGAATAGGAAGGGCTTGACGCTCGGTTAACTATCGCTTCCGGCTCGGCTGTGACGCGTCGCGTCGTTCGATGCTTCCGCTTCCTGCGAACGAGATTCAACAAGCACGCCGAGATCGACAGTACACGTACCGGCGAAATTCTCGTTCTCTCGCGTTAATAAATCCATCGCATCTGAATATTTTAATGACACATTTGTGCATTACAAATTTAAATAAATATGCAGTTTTACAGATCACTCTCCGATCCCAACAATTTTGACATATGTTATCAAGGTTATCTCCCCGAACAATAATATGAAGATTTTAGTCGTCGGTCGTCGTTTGTCAAAAAGTTATAAACAAAATAATTTGTGTTAATACACTCTTATTTTCCGACACTATGTACATTTTGTATTATTTTTCTTCTTTATTATTTACAATATTTTGCAGTGCATGTCTGTTGTTATTGTAATACATTTATAAATATTAGTTCGCAATTCAATATCATTTAGTGGATGTATTTCCGATATTATTGTGAAAAATTTGTCTATACGTTCCTCGTATACGTAACGGCGTTTGGCTTCTTAACAAGACTACTTTGTTTATTGTTTATGTTTTTTTTATTCGTGTTGTAAACATGTAGGCAGAGGGAGCTTCGCTTCTTCTCCTGCACTCTCCTCGAAAATACACTCTTGACATGAAGCGACATTTAATCGAAAGCCGTTCTTCATTTTTTCTCGAGGAGGATGCAGGGGGAAGGGCAAAGCCCGCCCTGCCTACACGCTTACAACACAAACAAAATGTACATGGTGTCGGAAAATAAGAGTTTATTTATAAAACTTCTTTTGTTTATAACTTTTTAACAAACAACGAGCAACGGTTAAAATCTTCATATTATTACTCAGGGAGGTGACCTTGACAACATATGTCAAAATTGTTGAGATCAGATGGTGGTTCGTATAACTGCATATTTATCCAAAAATTTATTTAATATTTGCAAAAAAGTAACGAGAGCCGATAAGATTTTATCTTTTTTTCATCTGAATTATTTCTCCGAGAAACACTACACCTTTCTTTTTGAGAGAAGATCTTTCTGCTTTCGAACGCGATCCTGTACCGTTCTATCGCGCGCGCCGGGAAAATCATGTCGATCAACGGGATCGAGATCGAGCGGAAAGGTCGCGCGGACGGTTATCCGTTTGCATAAGTTTCACGTTCTCTTGGCGACCTCTGCTTGAACCACACGACGAAGAGTTACTTTTTTTTTTTTTTTTTTTTGTACGCGAATCCGCGTCGACACGCTTTCGATGTTGAACGAGAGAAGGAGAGAGAAGAGGGAGAGAAGCGTTTTTCTCGCTGTATATCCGTTTTGTGTTGCATTATACCCTCAAAGCTTCCCCGGAGCTGTTTGCGACTTCGCGAGAAAGAAGAAAGGCGCAAACATTGTTCGCATTCTTCAAATGAATGCCGGAGCAGTCTTGGGCGACTTTTTAGGACGAATTTTTTTCCCTCGGACAAAATGGCTTAATAACACGGTGTTTTTTCGCGGATTATTCGCGTCACATTTTTTTATTCTTTTAAATTTTAATTATATTTGTTTAAATCACTTTGTCTATTTACGTTGTTTTGTCATTAAACGCGCAAATTCGGTTAAGAAGATCTTAACTAAATCTTGTGCTGATATATATTTGAAACTTTCGCTCTCAAAATCCGTTTTCAAATTCCTTTTGGAAGACATTTCTAAATATTTAATTTATCTCTCGCGCCAAACAAAATTATCGAACACAACGTCGTTATCTCTCGGTGACATCTTGTAAATAACAAACTTGTTCCCAGTAGCGACGACCAACTTCCACTCGATGAGAAACATCGTCGCGACGAATAAATCATAAACTTTCCGAATTGCATAGAGACAAAGTGAATCAACGCGATTGTTATCGAGAATAGTTGAGCGACCCGTTAATTGCGGCAGAGATTTGCACCCTCGCGCGAAGACACCGTGTGCGCATCGAAACGAGAATTACTTCTACGCTTGCAGTTTCCTTCATTTTTTTTTTTTTTTTTTTTTTTATAGCCGAGAAGCGTGAAAACTCGGTATGCGATTGCTTGTGAAATGAAGCGGCGCTCTCGTGGCCCTTCCGACCGAGGGAAGTTTGCTTAATGATCCCGCGAAACGGTCATTAACGATCGTTAGTTACTTGCTCCCGCGAGCGTGAACAATTCGAGTCGCGAAATACGTCGTTCTTGCCAATTTGCGCGTGCCGGAACGTCTGCGAAAATAAAAACGCGGGCGGTGCCGCGCTCACGCGCCTTTGTACAGAGACGGACAATCGATAGTAATGATGAAACTTGCGATTAATAATGCAAAAGAAAAACATATACACACGAACGACGTTGTTGCAAACCCGTTACGAACGATGCGGGGACTCGTCGAGGTAATGAGATGCGCAAGTGTGTTTAATTAGCATAATCGCATGAAAATATGCGGTGTGTGTGCGCGCGCGCGCGTGTGTACACGCGTTAGCTAAATAAAATGTTAACTTTTTTAAACAATTTTTTTGTTATACTTCAGACTACAAGTTTTATTTGCGTCACGAACACGTGACATTTGCGAAATAAAAAACGCGTTCAAGTAGTAGAAGCAAAGTAAAGAGAATTCCGCAAAAACTTTGGTAAATGTCGAAGGAGGAGCCGCCGCCTCGATTGCGTGATATTTCCTCATCTCTCGCGGCATCTCTCTCTCTCTTTCTCTTTCTACTTCTCTTCCTCCTCTTCGGCGTTTTCCGTTTCTCCGCGCGACGCGGGAACAATGCCTGGAAGATGAACATCCGCGCGCGATGACACATCGACGATTATTGCGAAGAGGTAGGCAAAAGGTAGGCTCGGGTGCCTACGCGATCTGTCTACGCGCCTGATGTCATCGTGTAACGGGTGTGCGCGGCCACACTCGTATCGCCTCGATTTTGCGCGGCTTTCCTCTGCCTTCGGAAACTGTTATTAAGCCCAAGATCAAGTCGGTCAGCAACGGTTATCGGACGACCGGTGCGCGCGTTATCCTCGATTTGTTTCGCCCTCTCCCTCCCCCTCCCCCATGTGGGATCACACATACACGTTCACCGCGTACGAGCGCGGATGAAGATCTTCCGTCTGTTTTTCTAAGATGCTCTTTTTTTTTTGCGCGCGCGCATCGCGAGATAAATTATTTCCCCGCGGTCGCGTAGAGAAGAAAAACAACTTCGCAGATGCGTGCGATATACAAAATACCGTGCCGTTATACGCGTGAAAAACAGCTGTACGGTAAACTCTCGCATCGCGTTTCTCGTGTGATTGTATTCGCAAAAATTTTTTATAAAAACTCAAACGCTATTGTGCGGAGAATCGAAAATGTGTTTAATTATAGAAAATCGAATCCGCATAGAAAAAAAAAGGCCGACGCAGATGTTCGCACGATGATTATATTTATTCATTCGAAATATTACAAAGGAAGATCTGTAGGGAAAGGGGGGGAATAATCTCTCTCTCTCTCTCTCTCTCTTTCTCTCTCTCTTGATTGTTCGAGGTTTATTGCAGAACATTTGTGCATCTCTGAAAATATTATACATGTATAGATGCGTGTGTACGTTGGATGAACCAGGCGAGAGATGACTCTCGCGCAATACTCAGCGCGCGGCACTCCTTCGGGTTTCTCAATTCCGGATGTATCGATTGACGATTTGTACGAAGGCGTCTCGTTGCGATTCACTCCGCTCGTCGTTCTTCTCTCTCGCGCGCGTTCGTTAAGAAGGCGGCTCTAAAAATATTGCTCCATTATCGATAGTTTAAAAATATTGTTTCACTATCAAAGTATCATCAGACTGATGAAGCAAAACGGTGTCTCTCGTCGTTTTGCACGGTTTCTCCGAAGTAGCTTTTTTTTTTTTTTTTTTTATAGCAGTTTGATAATTTAATTGTTGTTTTTTTCGTACCCTTTAATTATCGCGGTGTGTTACACTGGCGGTCTTAACAAACGCAATTATCAATCAGATAATTAGCATTAACAATTGACTTCCGCGCGAATGCCGACGTATTGCGATAATTAGTTCGGGACGATTTTTGCGCGGAACGGATTTTACTTGTGGCACGTAATATCTGAGCGGGTTATTATTAAGGGAGCAAAAATTCCCGACGCTTTTCCCCCCGTTTAACCTTATTATATTCGGTTCATTGTGCCCGGAACAAAAGACAATAGCTAGCTGGCAGCGCTCGCTCGCTCGCGCGCGTTTTGCGCTCCCGCTTAGAGGAGCGGCCGAGATTTTATGAATGAACGAGTATAATTGGCTGGTTATTATGCGGCCACTTGTCTCGACGAATGTCTGGCCTCTTAATGAAATTACGGTATATTCTCGCCGCTTGCATTTCCTAGAGGTGGTTTTCGAGGGAATATCAATGTGCGCGTCTCTCTCTCTCTCTCTCTCTCTCTTTCTCTCACTCACTCACTCCGTTACCTTATCTCGCAAACAAACTAGCCTGGCAGCAGCAGCACGTGCGCGCCATTTGAAATTGCAATTTGCCATTAATTCGCGACGGTAAAATCCCTCGCTCGCGAAGAAGGAGAGGAGCGTCAAGTAGGTCGCGTGTCAATTTTCCACAGTAACCACCGCGATTCTATCATTTCCTCAACTTAGCGGCGAGATTTACGGTCAGCGGTTACCAACGCGTTCTCCGATAATGGCCGCGGTCGATAGTGGAGAAGGGTACTTTAACTCTTTGCGACCTTACGTCACGACGCACGTGATGTCCGCCCCGATCGTGTTGCGGTGGATGTTGTCGTTGTCGCATCGTGCGCGAGAGTAACAGAAGAGACTTCGAGCTACGCACCGCAGAGAGTTGAAATTCGAATAACACACGAGAGGGAAATAAATATTAAACTCTCTTCGTCCGGAACCCTCATCGCGCGCGTTTCCTCTCCCGAAAGGGGTGTTTCACCCTGACGTACGCGTAGTGCAACGCAACATGCAAAATGGGAGACAGGCGAATGGGTGATTAATGGGAACGGGTTGATCTCTTTTTCTCTTTCTCTCTTATTGCTTTTTCTGGCGCGCGCGCGCGCGCGCGCGTTATATGTCCTTTTGTTCGTGCGTTTCGCGAAATGGCAGGAGTGCCGCTGGCATTGATGGACGACGCGACGGAATTAATCTTCGCTCTACGAGGTTCCGTCTTTTTCGGCGCGGCTCGTTCGCGCGCGACTAAAACGCCGAATTAAACATCGATAAATCGCAATGTGCTCGCGAGAGTAAATCGGCTCAACTCCATTCAGACGCGCAAAACAAAACAGTTCATTCGAAACATCGAAATTGTACGAGATTACCAGTTCGCGTAAATCTCGCGTATATCTCTTCGTTACATACTGATTATTCCGCTTTGATTGTCGCGCGGCTATTGCAATTCTTTCTCAAAAAAATACGCGCGTTGATCTCGCACATTCGAGTAGCTCGAGACTGACACGCTTCTTTCAAGAGAGAAAGGAAAAAATCGAAAGATAAATTTTGCTAAATAATTGGAAACGATATCAATAGTTTCCGCATAATTGATCAAATGGATTTTATTCTCCGACGAAGTTGCGAAATGAAGCGCCGTCTGTCGTCATTCGACGAGAGTGAAAGTAGCCGATTGCCGGGCTCCGTCAATTAACCATAATTGCAGTGTACGGTGGAAGGTGAGAGAGAGAAAGAGAGAGGAAAGGGGAGTGAAAAATAATCGTCGACTAGGCGAGGAGCGTGTCTATTTTCGGATCGTGTCAAACGAGAGATCCAAGCCATTAGGAAATTGGTCGACTAATAATAACCCTCTTGCTAGGATTCGCAACCCGTTACGTGAGGCGTGTAACTTCTTAAAACTCGTTATTGTGTCGTCGGTGACGAATAGAAGATCACGTGCCGTAATTTCAACCCTCAGGGGAGAATCGACACTTTTTTCTTCGAAATCTCGTAAATACTTTTTCTGCACATTGTGTAATTAATAAAACGTAATAGAAAAATACAATTTAAATTAAATAATTGTAATATCTTTTTTTTTAATTAGTTGTTAAAAAAAAAAAAAAAAAAGAAAAAAAAAAAAGAAAACCAAGAGCAAGGAAGAAGAATAAATTGCACAGCTGTTGATCGATATCTGTTATCGACTATCTGCCCCCAATAGGGTCTCATTAACCGTCTTCTTGATTAGAGATTAACTCCGCGATTTACTTCCTTGTTATCTCCCACGTTTATCTCGGGAATCGATATTCTTCGATATCGAGCCACGGAGTGGCTCGATAAATCCTCGCCGATTGCCTTGTCATCCTTCTCCCACGATGCGGAGCATGGGAAGACAAAGGGTCTTCGAACGGTGGCGTGACATAGCAACCACCCCTCCGCGTAGAAAATCCGCAGAAACGACCGGCGGTCGAAATCACCGTCGTGAGTTGAACGAACTCCCTCCTCCGCTTCCCCTGAACTGACCGTCGTCTCTCTACCTCTTGAAGATCTGGACGGGAAAAAGCGGGGCTCACTTGGGACATGACCGGTGATAAATGGTGTGCTATTTTATGGTCAGTCATGCTCTCGCCAATCCTGGCGAATGGCGACTGCCCCGGCGCGGTCACTTGCTTAAACTACGAAAATTATTCGCCATAAAACGACGCGTGGCGTCCGCCTCGAGCAAAGGTCTCTCGGGAGTGACTTATAGAATTTCTCACAGAAACGGGCTGGGAGATATCTTTTGTAGGGAAGACGTACGACGTGAAAAATCTGACGCTGTACACGTTCTCTCGCCTTTTGCGTTCCTCTCTTTTTCCATCGTTCGGCGGTGAAAGCAAGATAATGACATCTTTCTGCTCAGAAATCATGGCAATCTCTTCTCTATTTATTTTGCCAACAAATCGCAATTGTTCCAACGTAAAATTTAATTTACAAAATTTCCTCTTCCTCCTTCTTCTCCTCTAAAGTACCGATTGGAGTACCGCGCGTTGTACTTTTAACCTCGCAACCTGTTGTCGTGTCGACGAGCGAGAAAAAATGCGGCAAGGAAAGTGGAATATGATATGATACGCACAGACACACACACACACACACACATACGGCGATTGCTGCAAGGCCGCGGCCGACGCGTCTCTGGGGGTCGGACGAGCGACCCAGGTGGCGGATAGGATCAATTAACTATTTCTTTATAATCGATTGAGCAACGCGCGCGCGTAAATCTTGCGGTATCCTCGTGCGGATCACTAGCTCGGACCGCGCTGATTATTAACGCGCGATAACTCATTGGCTTTATCGCCCTTACCGCACCGGCATCGTCTCCGCATCATCAACGCGCGCTGTATAATTTATCCGATAAGTCGCACAGTGATTGGTCATCGATGTCGGATATAATTACCGCACGGAGAGAGGAGAGATCCGGTCAGCGGTGACGCGCGCGTTGCCTTGAAGCGACGCGGGAGTGCAACACGCTCGGAAATTAATAGGCCGCGCGGGAAAACGACGCTTTTCTCTTGAACAGTCCTTTCTCGCTCTTTTATTCCCCCCCCCCTCCTCCTTTCTTCTCGTCCGCAATAATTTACGACTGCTCGCGAAGAGATGCGCGATTATTAATCTTCTATTATCGCGAACAACCGCGAGGATCAAATCGCATGTCGTCCGTTTTTGTTGCGGAAAAGTCGCCTCACAACTTTTCTCGCGACAAAATCAATTCCGTATCGTCGATCATCGAACTTCGCACAGTTGAGTCCGGAAGAGGAGATATGCGATAATACGCATTATTCGAAAGCGAAAAACACAGAGTAATGTTGTAGAGATTAAATGTTTACGATATCTTTACGAATTTAAAAAATGTCCGATATTACATGTGTGCAAGAATAACCAAGAGAAATTTCAATTAACTCAAAGAAGTCACGCGCGAAACTCAATTCGAAGAGATATCGCGGCGATACTTTCGTTTCTCGAGATTCGATCGGAATTTTCAGAATCGTCTTTCGGAGGAAGACGATTCTATTTTCGTTTTAATTGGCAATCGTATCCGAGATTTCTTCGATCTTTATCGTCGAGAAATCGTCGGACGAGTTGCGCTCGTCTGTGTTTACACACGTAATCTCCAGCAGCGATTCTCAATCGAACGGTCGTGTTTCTGCTTTTGTAGGGCACGAAGCTGTGGATCATCATGGAATACCTGGGTGGCGGCTCGGCCCTGGACTTGATGAAGGCCGGTAGCTTCGAGGAGATGCACATTGCCGTAATATTACGCGAGGTGCTCAAAGGGCTGGATTATCTGCACAGCGAGCGTAAGCTTCATCGCGATATTAAAGGTACGTGTTCGCACGATGAACGCGCGAGAGCGCGAAGAGTGTTTATCGACACTTTGACGCACGCCTCTCTCTCTCGAGATGTAACGTGTCAAGAGGGATCTTGTTGTACACAATGTTGATTCAACGGAACACCAAATATTGCGCTAATTAAAGCTCGCTCGAAGCTTAACTAAAGTGCAAAATCAATTCTCGAGAAAAAAATATATATTCACGTATAAAAATACAACTTCGCGATGTGTAGGAGTTTTTTTATTTACATAAAAATAGAAGGAGAAATATAAAATTTGCTCTTGTTGTGTAAAAAAAAATTGTTTACTCATTACGCGTACGTGGGAATAAAAGATCTGTGTTTGTTTTTTTGTTTTATCAACTTTATAGCGGCAAACGTTTTGCTGAGCGAGATGGGTGACGTCAAACTGGCCGACTTCGGTGTTGCCGGTCAATTGACGAACACCACGAGCAAACGTAACACCTTCGTCGGCACGCCGTTTTGGATGGCGCCTGAAGTCATCAAACAGTCCGCTTACGATTCCAAGGTAATTGCGCAAATCGCATACATTTATATGTAATTACATTCCATTTGCAACACAATTGTTTTTTCCATGTACAAATTAGAAGAAGTAATTGAAAAAAATATTTCTATTCTCTGCTTCCGAGACACTTTTGAATAAGATTTTTTTTTGTCTCGCACTCACGTACATAATAAAGTAAAAAGTTTTATTTTTCGTTGTTTTCTTTCTTCTTTGAAGTACATGTTGAAAAATTATTGTGCCGAGCAAAGCAGCGCGGTCACGTTTTCATTAGCGCCTGTCGTTAGCGCGCTCATCATCTGACACACGCGTTAACTCCGCGAACGCTTATCTTCCGCAGGCTGACATTTGGTCTCTGGGCATCACGGCAATCGAGCTCGCGAAAGGAGAACCTCCCAATAGCGAGCTACATCCTATGAGAGTGCTCTTCCTAATACCCAAGAACAATCCGCCGCAACTGACTGGGAATTACACGAAACAGTTCAAGGAGTTTGTCGAAGCCTGCCTCAACAAGGAGCCTGAAAACGTGAGTGTACCGTTACATATACGTTCGCGTCTCGGGTCATCAACCGATAATGTCGATTCGAAAATGTTCCTTCTGTTTCTCGTTGTGTATCTACTCGACGTATCCAAACCATGTAATTGCGAATTATCGAAACACAAAATTGAAAGAAACAAAATTGTGAAACAATTTAATTTAAAAAAAAAAACTCGAAACTTGTTCTTTCACGATTTTTATTCATTTCGTATTGTTTTCGTACGTGCGTGCAGAGACCAACGGCGAAGGAGTTGCTGAAGTTCCAGTTCATCAGGAAGGCGAAGAAAAACTCGTATCTAATCGACCTGATCGACAGGTACAAAAAGTGGAAGTCGCAGCGCAGCGAGGAGTCGGAGACCGAGAGTGAGAATTCGGACTCGTGAGTATTTTTCAACTCGCGCATTTCTGTTATACGCGAAAGTAAAAGCTCCGTTTTTCTTTTTTACATACTCTCCGAATTTATTTTCGACCTTAATTCCGTAATAAATTTAGATCGTGAGTGTATAAGAAAGAAACAAAAGAAAGAAAGGGAACGGTCATTTGTCACTCGCTCGGTAGATAATAGACCGGCGGTTTAAGTGTGGGTAGTAAATTGTAACGCAGTATATTATACGGTGTTCAGAGAGGAATCCAAGCAAGACAGCGACATGGACGAACCGTGGATAATGACGGTGAAAGGTCCGCACGGGGTAAAAGGATCTGTAGTGCCTATGCTGCCACTGGACGAGCAGCCCGCATCCTTGACCCTAACACACACGAATCACAGGTCCTCCAATCATAGTCAATCGAGCAAACCGCACGCGAACGGCGCCTCGCGATCACCACCGAAGGACTCCACGCTCAATCATTACAGAAGCGAGTCCAGGGATTCGCTGCGCGATGGTCAAGCAAAACACACACCGGTGCGTTGTCAGTTTTATTTATTATTCAATTGACATTGTGTGATATTTTGTATTTACGTGAGTTTTTTTGTTGTTTTGTTTGTTTTTTCCTTTTTACAGTCCCGACCACACGAGGCCGCGCCTCCGCCACCGGTGGACACAAGAGAAAAGCGAGACGAGCGGGACTACCGTGACTCCAGCCGAGAGTCCACGCTCAGAGAATCGAAGGAGATGCGCGATGGACGCGAGAGAGACAGAGACGGCGTCAGAGAACGCGACAGAGAAGGCAGAGATCGAGATAGAGCTAGCAGAGACTTCAACAGTCGGGAGAAGAGGAGAAACAGCAAGCCGGATGTTCCCGTGGTTCCGATGGCCGATCACAGACCCGGCGAGGACAAACAGAGACCCAGAAGCTCGCAGGAGCTCAAGCATCCGCGAAGCGTCGCTTTGTCCGGTGTTGTTCTACCTCTGCTTTCCGAGGTATAGTTTGAGTTAAATAGTTTATAGGAAATATATGACAAAGTACTAACTCTGAATTCTGATTAATGTACAATATCTCGAAATGCAGAAACTTTAATGAGAGAGCTCGAGACCGAAACGAAAATAACTCGCGTTTCTAACAATGTTGCAGCTTCAACGAAAGCACCAATATTCGGCGAGAGACAATAATGGTGAGGGTGGTAGTGGTGGCAAGAATGGCGGTGCTATAGAGGAACTGCGAGGCGCTTTTGAGTCGGCGGAACGCACGTCGCCAGGCATGACGGAGTCTCTTCTACGCGAACTGATTAAATCCTTACTTCCGCCGAATCATTCGGAAGGACGCTTATCTATGTTAATGGAAAAAGTTATTTTAAGGTAATACTCTCCTCTTTCCTTTTTTTTGTTTTTTTCACGCTTCTCTGGATTGATACAGAAAGCTAAACGTGTTTTTTTGTTTTGTTTTTCAGGGATACGTAGGGACGCGAGAGATCGAGAGTTCGCAAGAGACTGTGGTCCCAGAATATCCTAACGTTGTAAAATTATTACGTTACTTCTCTCAGTTATCAACTTATTAATCAGCACGAGCCGAGTTCGTTATCGATGAGTGACGCGATACCGAACGTGAACGTGAAGGTGCGAGGAACTGCGTTCATATTTTTTTTTCTTCGCCTCACTCTTATTCTCTCTCCGCTCTTCCCCCTTCCCAAGCTAAAGACCGTGCTACAACGAAGTCTATCGAAGTTTTACGAAATAGTCTACCCAAAATCGCTTCATATTTCCATCTACCTACCTACCTTCGCTGTAGGAAAAACAAAACGCGTAGAGACAGCAAATGCGCGCGAAAATGTTGTTACCAGTATTATCTTCATCATGAACGAACCACATATTCTACGTATTTTATAAGTTTCTTTTCGTCGGCTAGAAATTTGTTTTAACTGCGAATATCATTATGGAATTTCTCTTTTTCTCGGAATCCTTTTTTTTTTTTTTTTTTTTTTTCCAATTTCAAATAATCAGATAAGAAAATATTAGAATAATTAATATACTAGAAAAAGCCATACGCGTATAACGAAGAGTAAAACTTTATCGGCAGAACATATTTTTAAAATCTGATATTTACAAATGGACTCGCGTCGATCGATTTTAAAAACAGTCGGTAAAACAATTCTTATCGCTAGTAGAGAATTAAAAATGCGGAGAAAATGTAGAAGACGCATTCGAGTTTAAATAGTTCAAAATCTTTTGAGGAAAAAAAAGAAAGAATAGCAACGCCCTAGCAATCTATAATAGCAGTCAAGTTTTACGAGTAGAAAAAAAAAAAAAAACAAAAAGCAAAAACTAGCGCATTTGCAGGAAGGTTGAATAAACGAAAGAGAAAAAAATATTCTCATCAATATTTTACAGCCTAACCGAAGTCATTTTTGCGAACCTTCTTCATGTTCGGCGTGAACATCGATCTGACATTAGGACAAAACAAAAAATTTGTACAGACTCGACAAAAAGCGACTATAGATGAAGATAGTAATCGACGACACGAAGGTTTTGCCTCAATGTAAATACGTCCGCAGCATGCACTACCGAGAGACGTATCAGGCATATATATATATATAGACGTGATCTATGTAAGAAAATGGAAAAAAATCTTCGAAGCTTCTCTACGGAGCTCTCAAAGCGAGACGTTTTTACCAATATTTTTGCAGACAGAGAAAGAGAGGGACAATTATTTAGTAGCGTATTTTCTGGGTGAGAAAAGAGAGAAGAGGAGGATCCTATAGCAGTCGAAAGAAAGAAAACATGTGTTCTTTTAAATAGATTCCTTCCCGTAGATTGCTTCCTACGCTAGTGCACGTTTCGGACGCGAAAGGGACAGGTCTTAAGATGAGAGAGAGAGACAGAGAGAGAAAGAGAGAGCTCTGGCGTGTGCAGTGCTAGAGGAACTTGTAAATATGTATGTAGCGCGATAAGATAGTCTTATTGTTCTGATCGACGTCTTTGCCAACCGGTCGCACAGCTCCGTTAAACGATCTTGTTGCCCGCGAGGGTGATAAAATCCTTATCCTTTCCGTGATCAGTCATCATCATTATCATCATCATCATCGTCATCGTTCATCATTGAGAAAGACGATAGCCGTAGGTTATATAGGCGATATATTACCGTTACAAATTTATCGAGAGCTTTTATCGTTTCGATGTAGTTTTCGCTTGTTGCGTAAAAAAATTGCAGGTAAGCCGTTAAACCAAGTGTTTGAGCAGCCGTAACGCGCGATATGTACACTAGCGCGTTTAAAATATATATGATAATTTTTAATCGTATTAAAAAAAAAAAAAAAACAAAAAAAACAAAAAAAAACAATTTCCCACTTGGAAAACGTCGAAGAACAATGCTACTTTAGAGAACACTGTCTCCAAATATACATATATACATACATACATACATACATCCGTGTGAAAGACACTTCGAGATCTTTCCATCATGCCTTAAAAGTAAACGCATACGTCATTAACGTAGAATAATAATAATAAGAATAATGATAACAATAACAACAACACAACGGAATCGTTCCACGTTAACATATCGTTGAAACGTTCGTGTATTTTTGCCGGATTGTAAAGCGATCGTAGCAATTTTCGCGATTTTCGATAGTTTTTGGAAGGAAAAGAATGTGTGTATGTCAGGATAAAGCGCCTTTTATAAGAGAGTCTCGAGTTTTTTTATTATATAATACAATAAAATATTTGACGTGGAACGACTTGATGACGTGGTCGACTTTAAAACGGAACGTAGTAACGCACGCGAGAAAGATGTATTACATTACGTGGCGAATGTCTTTGAACTCAACAACGCGCAACGCGTTTAAACAGTCACGACTGAATGCGTTATACGGAATTTGAGTACTGCCGTTCTTCCAAACACTTAACTTGCGTTTGTTGACACATAATAATGTCCGAAATTCCTATTTTTCTTTCCACGATCGAGTCTGAGCTGCGATGACTCCCACGCAGGGCGTCGACACTTAAACCACGTTGTTTGTGTGTGTAAACTAATGTATTTTATAAAAAATATATATATACATATATATATATATATATATATATAAAGAGAGAGAGAGAAAGCGAGAGAGAGTTAGTGAGTGAGAGAGAGAGAGAGAAAAAAATTCCACACACGCGTAAAAGATAGACAAATTTTAAATGATGTCATCTATGGGGTGGTCGGAAAAGAGTGTCATGAGTGTATCGCGTTTCACTGATATGCAAAGATGAGACCATCCTGTAGTGATTTAAAGGAAAATGAATAAAAAGAAGGTGAGATAGAGCAAGAGTGAGAGAAAGGAAAGGAAACAAGATAACTAACGCGAGTTTATGAAGAAAGTACGTCAATTAAAACTCGAAAACTAAAAAAAAGGCAAAGAGACTTAATTATGTTATTCAAATTTATGTTATTCGGCGCTTCGATGTACACAAATTTCGTTGCATTTTACATATATATATATATAGTTTTTATTCCTGTTTTAATTGAATTTGTTTCGTAAATTTTGACTCACAATGATCGTCATCATGTCCAATGAGAAGCGCAAAAACAATATTGAAATATTGAAAATCTCTGCTCTACGCCTTTTCTGTTCTCCGTTTCGTTACCTGCCACCCACCTAGATGATAAGTAAGTCAGGTCAGGTTATATAAACGATATGTATTAACGTTACTTTTAGTTGTTACTTCAATTATATTCATTTACGTTGTATTGTTACAAATACGGTCATCTTATGTCGGCTGATCAAACGATTTTTTTAATTGTTACTCTCTCTTTAATCACATAATAACAATTCTTTTTACGACAGAGGAAAAACTCGTTTGGCGAGGCGACATGATTTGATTCTCATAAACTATTTTTCTTATTGTTGTTTCACCGTTTCGGTTTAAGTTTTTTTTTTTTCGATCTTTACGGCGATCGCCACCCCAGGTAGACCTCATAACGCTGCCATAAATGCTTACCATAAATGCTAGTTACATCCACGCGCTTTTGTAGCATCGCGGACCGAACCGAGTGAGTGAAGCAAATTACAGCTGTGTAAGCAGTATGTTTGTTAAAACAAAAACAAAAACAAAGAATCGTCAGGTCACACCCGCGGAGTAGCGATCGATTTTTACGTCCAAGTAATAATCATTTTTATCAGAGACGTCTCTTTTTTTTTCTTGCGTTTCGTTTTGGCCGTCTTCGCTCAATGGCCAAAGTTGTACGTGTAGATGCAGATTGTTGTACGCGCGAGAAATCGCGCGTATAAATTTTATTATCGGGTTAAAATTTAAGGTAGTGGCTCGTTATATTTTTTGTTTACAATCGGCCGAGAGAGGTTTTTTCAACGTGCGTTTAAGATCGGATAGATTTTTCTTGCTCGGAGTGCGATAAGATACGGAAAGCTGACGGGACGTGATCATGTAATCTGTGTATCACATACATACACACATACACACACACACACACATACACACACAGAGAGATATATAATTTGTGTACGGAGAACTATTTCAGAACTTTGTTTTTCGTTGAGTTCGAATCTGCTTCTTATGCCATACCCTAACCGACTAGGAAAATCCTACGTTTGATGAGTATGTTGCTTCGCGCGAGGGTGAGACGAGACGCGCGCGAGGATTTGAATCGCGAAATCTTTGATTTCTTCGCCGTGTGTAGATTGCGAATGGAAATGTAAACTGACGCCGAACTGTGATTTTTCGATTTTCAGAAAGCTCGTTGCTTTCGTCTTATTTTTTTTTAGTTTATATATACATGTGTACGTTTATACAAAGGGGTCGATCGAGTGAGAGTTTTCGTTTTGTTTTTTATTAATCGAGATCATGATATCACAAAGACAAAAAGAGAGAAAAAAGAGAGAAAGAAACAGAAAGACAGAGAGAGAGATCGGCAAGCGCGCGTGATCCGCTTGCGGTTCGCAAAAACAAAAAAAAAAAACCGCGCCACATTCAATCCGAATTACGTGTCCTACCGTATCCACAGCACTCTTCTTTGTATTATATTTGTAGCTCTACTATCCATCTCTAATATATTCAACGTTATGAAAAAAAAAAAAAAAAAAACACCGCGTGGTAACAATAATATGTCTCGGCATAGAGTATATACATATATAAATATATATATAAATATATAAATATATATATTTTTTGTATTTTACTTCTACCTTGGCTGCGTTGGACTGTATTATATTGATTGTATGTGGCATGCTGAGGGCGTGTACAAATATGAAATAAAGATTAAATAAATCACACGAAGTTGGCGAGTATTGTTTTCTTCCTGACGCTTTTCGGCGACAATTTTTAATTTTTTCACGCGCGTAATTGGTTCTTCTCAAAGTAATCTCTGATCATTTTAGAATTATATTACGAAATTTCAAATGTGTGTACGTACGTTGGATGCGATATCGACGCTTCCCGGCGAGCGTCGCGACGTCGTGTAACGGAAGAGCGCAGGTCCGCGCCCGAGGTAGTCTTCGGAAGGGAGGGGCATGGAGAGGGTTAGAGAGAGTAAGAGAGAGAGAGAGAGAGAGAGAGAGAGAGGGTGTAGGGATTTTCTTGATACATCCCGTAGTGCAGTAGTCGACAGCATCCCGCGGGTGGTCGCGATCGAAATATCAGAGGCGGGAACAGTCGATGAACAAGAGTGGGTGAGAAGGTGCTCACTCTTGCTCTCCTTTTCTTTTTTTTTTTTTTTCTATTGCTTTCTCTCTCTCTCTCTCTCTCTCTCTCTCTTTCTCTGTCTGTCTCTCAGTCTTTGGCTGTATTATGTACTCTCATCCCTCCCGCTAAAAAACCGGGAAAACACGCCCCATCTGCCACAGACCGGACTGAGTCTGCGATTCTGGAGGAGATGCCAGACCGCGGCAATCGAGAACGAGAGGAAGAGGAGAGAGAAAGACGGGGAGAGTTTCCTCTCCGCGAAGACGTCTTTACACATATATAAATAGAGCGACCACGCACACCACGACGAAGAGGGAGAAAGTTGGTGTCCCCGGAAAACGCGCGCGGGATTCCGGACGCCGATTCGCGGTCGAATCGCGACAGTATTTTGCAGTACACACGAAGTGAGCGCCGACGGGAGGGTTTGCCGTTCCGTTGGATCATCCCGCGGGAGAGAGTCGACTCCTTTCGCTCTCGTCCTACTACTTCAGGTTGACGAAATTGGTGATTACGAGTGGTTTTTCGGTCGCCGATACCAGGACCGTGTATACAGCAACGTTTTCTCGATGTCGTCATCTCAGGATACCTCGAAGTGCGTTGTCACGATACTGATGTACGTATCCCGAAGACGGAATGCAACCCCAGCATTTGCACGATGTGAACAAGCTCGCTCGTCGTTGTTTGATTTTTCTTTGAAATTTACGCAGCTTCCGACATTCAAACCACACACACACACACACATCATACGATCATCATACATTCTGCGTGCAAAAAAATACGACATTCTCGTTAACTTTCAACCATATCCCAAGATCGTAACGTTCCATTCCGCGTCGCATTGACAAGCAACATCAGAAAGACAGATTTACTGGTTGATAGACAGAGAGAAAGAGAGAGAAAAACCTTACGGGTTTGCTTCGCGCACGTTTTCAGCTTCGCGAGCATCGACGATGCTGTGTGTGTTGCTGCTTCTGGCGGTGCCCATTGGCTTTCGCGGCATGCGCGACGCTCGACAACGCTACACAAGCGACGACGTATAATGCAGGACATAATCTGCGTAAAATATCAGAAACTTATTTTTCAGACCGACTCTCTCTCTCTCTCTCTCTCTCTCTCTCTCTCTTGCGCTGTCACACACGCGCTCCTTTAAGATTAGAATCAGTCAGATTTCCGTCCCCAAACACTTGACATTCAGACATTTATCGCGTCTGTCGTCTCAATTACCAGGAGACGTATTGTCATCACGTTTCCTATTAAGATTTTCATCGCAGATAATAGAAACTGAGAGGAACGTCCCTCGGCTTTGTGCAAACGGAAGTAAGTAAATAAAACGTTGAAAGGGCAAATGCGAACGGTACAATGAATGGCGCAAAATGATTAACTGACTGACTTTGTGACAGACAGTTCCGGAACGTTTGGAACTTGAAAAATAACTAAGTATATTTCACTTGATTATCTTTCTAGCTACTGATAGATGATTAAAAAAATCAAACACATATATTATTCAAATTATCTACAAAATATTCAGAACTTAAGAAAAAAGGAGGCATGTGTGTGATATTTCTAAGCAAATAATGGCACCCGTTCTCGCGCGCGTAATCCTCTCTCGCCGACTACGACGACGACGTCGTTGTCGTCGTCGTCGTCGTCTCGAGCGCGCTGGCCGCTAAAGCGTAACGCGCTCGCCGGCGCAGGCAGGCTACATAGGTAGCTACGCTTTAATTACACATTTTTCCTTGCCGCTCCAAAAAGCCACCGATGTGTAATAGAGCCGGCGGGGGACTCTCCTCGTATGTGCGCGCTGCTTTGCCGCGGAGCGTGGACGGCAGTGAATCCCGAAGGCGCGCGGAGCGTGGACGTATCGGCGCGCGCGCGCGCTTTATTAGCCGCTCGGACATTTACACGCGCGTGCCGTGCACAGTGTTCATACGTTTATAGTCCCGAGACCTTTATACTCAAAGTATTTCTGGTTCATTCACCCGGGACTTGGGAGCGCCAAAGTGTCAATCGACATTACCTCCGATATTTAAAGACTTCATTGCACTGAGTCAGTTTACATATATTGATTTAATTAAATTTACTATTTGCGTGTTTACCCTAAATAATCTCTTTTCTCTTTGTTCTTGTTTTTCGTTTTTTTTTTTTTTTTTTTTTTTTCTTACACGTTTTTTATCATTTTCACCCTTTAAGTCAACCTTATTATTCCGATGATCGGAGCGCTAATCCTTAACGCC